AGTGGAGTTAGTAAGAAATTATAACCACTCGAAGTGGTAAAATTTCTCTGTCTTGTCATGATTAAATTCATATATAATTGTGGGTAAAGAACTGAAAACCCGTCCCATTGAATTTGCTCCATTCTCATTCACTTAAGAGAATGTGATAGCAATATGTGATAAGTCTAAAAGAAGACAAAATTATTACCGTGAAGGTATTAATGGATGTGGACGTGACAATAGACGAAATTATAATCGTCATCATTGTGATAATGAGAATAATAAGGATTCTCAAAATAATCCTTCACTCTGTGAAAGTAATGTTTGTCATCGATTTGACATGAGATTCTGCAAAGCACATATAGATGATTATGGTCCATTCATGATGTGAATGTGACAACATCTGATTTATGAATACATATTCATTATTGGAAGAATATGAACGTGCTAGTGGTAGTGAATATATCACACTCACCTCTAGAAGGAGGTTTGAGATGATATAAGAAAATAATGTCATTATTATGGCATGAATGGTCATTGGTCACGTACCTAATACACGCTAAAATATTTTGGTAATGTGATTATTAAAAGACAATGGTAATGCAAGAAATAGATCTTGCATATTTGACAATGACCATAATTTATAATTTTCTCTTTAAAAGAGATATTCACCATATGGATATTGATGAATATGTGGTACTACAAAATTAATTGAGAACTCTGCAAGAGCCAATTATACTATTTTGGAGAAACACAATTGATTACCAATAAGGTATTGTGTTCTAGTTAGTCTCAAAGAAACTTATTCAGTTTCAAAGTATACGCAAAAGCGGTTGGTTATATTGAGACTATAAATAAAGGAAAGATTTGATATCTTCTATTAATATGACTCGTAGCGGGATAATATGTATGTGAAAAGTTACTCACTTTATTCTCCAGTTTATACTATACAAATAAAAGAATACCGCAATAAACTGAATGTTATTGGTATAAAACCCATATCATAATAAACTTGGAGTTTATTGATTTAGCCATATCAATTTAAGTATAATGTGCAAAAATAATAGAGAATTCACATGGATAAATATTAAAGAACTAGAAAATTCTTTACGAATTCTCTTATATTGCTTGTTCTCATTAATTAATTGACCAACTTATAAAATTGGGATTGAATCCCATGAATGCTGGAAATATCAAAGGTGAATATGGGCCCATTCACCTGCCATGTATACCACATAAGATGCATCTATGAGATGGTTACATGTGCGACTATTATTAACCCGCAACCTGGTATTTGCGAGGTAACTTGCTCAATAATTTAATTCAGAGCATATTCCAGACTTTTTATTTAAGATAGTTCATTTTGATAAGTTGGTTTACATCACAGTTGGTTTAGCAAAATTATTTATTGAGTGCCTCCACTTAATAGCTAAACTATTGCTTATGAGAACAAAGTTATCTATATCAGTTTGATATACGTTATATACTAAAGTATATTATATTCTCCCTTCACAAGTGGTTAAGGATCAGGAACCAAATAATTTCATCTTATTATTATTGATGTGAGGTGTATATTTTTATTAACACCATAATGCACAAAGATGAGTTCCCAAAATTGAGGAAGAAAGTTAGTTTTTCTAACATGAGGGGGAGACATGATAAACAATTGAGAAAAAGTTACGTGGAATGAATTATCATTTTTGTGTATATGTAATCTCTTCATATAATGTCGTGGAATAACCTTTTCAATATCTCCATAGAGGTAAAAAATTTCGCTATCATATTATCATGCTTATAGTTATAGCAAGATACATATGTGCACAAATTACACTTATCATATGGTACTTCAGGACCAAGAATTGTATATGCTTCAAGTTATTTAAATCCTTCAATGATTGTCATATACGTATAGTCATATAAGTCATATAATAGACTTTAATTAGATGCATATCAAGTTTTCATGTCATGCTAGACAAATAAGATATCAAAAATTGATTGCACATACCATTGACTTTATACTTTCAAATGTTTGTACTACAGGTCAAAATACTTGTCTTTCATATGAAACCAATTCTATTCGAATTGCGTCTCTCCTATTTCGCCAATATTTTTGTGTCTGTGTTCGACAAACATAAGATCCTCATCTATACTTAGCGCTATCATAGATGTCATCGACGAACATTTTATATCGGTTCCAACATTCTTTCATAAAGACGTGACATAGAGATCTCTTTATTCATATTTTCAGGTACCTGAATCTCTCCTAAGATTTTATGAAGTATTACGTCATGTGATTTTCTAGATCACTTGTCTCCTTATTATATTACATTCTTTTCATTTTGGTTCGCTTAAAAAGAACTTATTTTAATTTTAAATTTAAAAAGTCTCAAATCTCAATATTCTCGTTTTGTTCTTAACGACATGCTCTTCCAGGAATTGACATGACATGATAAAGACGACAAAATACTAATTATATAGTACTGGTTACTTCATAAGTGGTGTATATTTAACTTACTCCATGTGTTAAAAAGATTCATCTTAAGTTTAATGTTTAATCAAATATCCTCAAATAAAATAAAAGAAGGCTCAATTATTGCCACACCCCATCATATCCATCTGTTATACTATAATGTCTTCTGCTTTTTAAAGGTAAAAGCCTTGATGTCAATGTTGGCTTACTCATTTGTAATTCAGTGCAACTCTGCTCTTATCATACAGTATTAATTATGTAAAGTTTGAAAAAAAAAAAAAAAGAACTCCCCTAAAAGATTAGAAAGTATTTCAAAATTTTGAATGATAAATCGAAGGTGGGCCTTTGTTATGACTACACAAAATAAAGGGAAAAATAAAAAATAATCAGATTTACAACTAGTAATTGAAAAATAGTCACAATTTCAAAAGTAATCGAAATTTAGCCACTTTTTCATGTAAAGATAAAATCTGAACAAAAATATTCTTAAAAATTCGAAAACATTCCAGCATAATATGTTGGAGTTCGATTTTTTTTATATATGAGCTTCCAACATAATATGCTACAATGTGTTGGAGTTCCAACATGATATGCGGGAAGTTTATATGCAGGAGCTCCATAATCCGGCATATTATGCTAGAACTTTTCGTGTGTTGGAATTCCAACATAATATGCTGGAAGTTTATATGCAAGAGCTTCATAACCCCGCATATTATACTGGAATTTCCGTGTTTCAGCAAAACAATGGTTCTTTTTCAATAACTTTACAAACGCTGGCTATTTTTTGATTCCCAGTCCGAGAACTGGCTAGTCCGTGCTATTTTCACCAAAATAAATATTCATTCATGCCACGAGCTGTTTTTCATCAAAGTGGAATTTTCATTTTCCCCATTACGCTACAAAAACTCAAAAGCCTTCCAATGGATTACAAATACATTAATCGTAAAGAATAAAACTACTTTGAATTATTTTAGTCTTCATTTGGTCCCTGCCTTAAAAGAAAAGGGAATTCAAACTTGATGAAACTGTCATTAACCTTAATCATGATGGTTTAATTTTCAAACTAAGATTAGTTAAACAAATAGCTACAATTACAACTTTTATAGATTGAGGAACATAAAAAAGAATTATTAAGAAAAAGGAATATGTAAGATATTTCAAAATTGTCTGCAAAAAAAAATTATGGAGTCAAACATATAATAAAACTGGACCAGTTTTTCCCTTTTATCTCTAAACACCTGTCAAGAGAAAGAGGTGTGAAATTGAAAAATATGAAAGGGGGAAAAAAAAAGTAGGAGCAAATCATTATCTAAAAAAGGCAGACAGCAGTTTACACTTCTCTCCTACTCTGTCTTGGACCCTAAGGCTCTCATGCAAATATTTGCTGTTTTTAGGTGAAGACTTACTGTCCAATTTGTATAAAAATCTTGTAGGCCAAGGGCACAATCTTTTAGCAAAAAGAATATTTCACCAATTCTCTTCAAGACCCTTCAACCAATATTAGTTATCCACTAAATGATTGAATTAAGATAAAAAAGAATACCCCGATACACAAAATATCCCCTGTTAATGCAAGGTCCGGGAAAGGACTGCATGCACGCAGAGGCGAATCCAGGATTTTTAAATTGTGAGTGCTCCACCGTCTTTAACTGGAATTTTTACTTTTAAGGTTGGGTGCTCAATCAATATTCTTGTATATACTCCCTTTGTCTCATATTATATGTCGTATTTTTCTTTTACACGCCCTTTAAGAAACATAATTAAGAAAGAGATTAGACTATTATACCATTTTTATGTCTTAAGATAAAGTCTCTCTTCATTAAATATTTATTCTATTTATGTATTATCTCCATCTTCAAGAACAATTATTACTAAGGGTAAAAAAGGAAAAGAAAAATCAATTTTATCTTGAACTTCTAAAATGATAAATAATGTGAGATAACTATTTTTAGTAACCACGATTGTTAATATGAGACGGATGGAGTAATTACTAGTTTCCAATATAAAATATAACGTTTGTCTAAAAAACAATGGGTGCTTAAGTACCCATAAGGTTCAATGTAGATCCACCCTTGTATGCAAGGAGTGTAAAGTAGGCAACTTACCCCGATGCAAGCATCAATGACTGATTTCATTGCTCGAATCTGTGACCTATAGGTCACATGAGACAACTTAATCGTTGTTCCAAGGCCTTCTAATTTAAAGTTGTTTGACTCTCAAAAAATGAAATTTGTGACATAGTCTATGACTCATAAAAGCGTAAATTTGTGGAATTCTTGAAATGCATAGTTGTGCTTTATTTGGAAGTTAATGCTAAATAATTTTTGTGTCAATGTGAGTAGTTACATAAATTTGCCAATGCACCAAACCATGGAAAACAGTAGTCTAACCAAAACAAGTCGAGTAAGCTAGATCAGCCATGAAGCTTTCTATATATTAATATATATTACCCTAATAAGAAAAGAATACTAATACTATAAGCATTTCATAGCATAAACTCTTGTAGTTTAACAAAATAGAAGGGTTTTAAGGCATTAAGTGAAGATAAAACTTAGTGAAAAAAAGGAAAGTGAAATGTAGTGTTTTATTTATTGAGAATAAGCTTTTTAGAGGGCATTGTGGTAATATCACTTGAAGCAAGATTTGATATAAAGAAAGCAAGATGTTTAGGTACGTAGCTTTAAATTAAGTCCAACCTTGGTGATAAGCATCTCACAACAGTAGAAAACAAAGCCGAAAGCCAGAAGGCAAATATTCCATTCCAAAGCATACTTTAAAAGAGAACAAGGAAATCAATGACTACTCCTAAGCAAATGGAGCAACAAGTTGTAAAGATGAAGAACTCAGGGATCATAAGCTACAGCGGGAGTCCAATGATCGACGACAGAGAGGAAGAAATGACAAGATCAGCATTATCTGCATTTCGTGCAAAAGAAGAAGAGATTGAAAAGAAGAGAAAAGAAGTATCTGATAAGGTCCAAGCTCAATTAGGCCGCGTTGAGGAAGAAACTAAGCGTTTAGCTGAAATACGCGAGGTAAGGTTTACAACTTTTTGCTGTAACACCCACTCAATCCACCACAATTATGACACTCAACTTGTAAAACCAGATTTTTTTTCTCCTTTTAATTAGTAGTAGTACTGAAAATCATTTACTAGTACTATGTGTCTATGTTACAATATGTTTATTGTCATATATTAATGTTTTCTTGACAATAGACAATTTTATTTTGTTGCATTTTTCATGGGAAATCTGGTAGAAGCTTGAATCATTTGTTGATCCAGCTGGGAAAGAAGTTACAATAGTGAGGAAGAAGATTGACTTAGTCAACCGTGAATTAAAGCCGTTGGGACAGAGCTGCCAGAGAAAGGTAAAACATTAGACTATACCTTTTTTTTTTTTAACTTTAGGAAAATTAACTATAGTTACTTTACTAAAAGACAAGGGGACAGACAGACAGACAGTTGGTTCATAGCCGTTGGTAGACTAAAAAAAGTCCTTGGATTCTATTTTTGTATAGGATCCATAAGACTTTCTCTCACGTACACACAATATTCATTTATGACCAGAAGCGGACCCAAGCATTTGCAGTGATGGGACAGAACAGCTTAATTAGTACCCATAAAAGACTTTTATTATTTAGGGTATTAAAATTAATTATATAATCATTTTCAAGATATATATATATATATATATGTATACAAAATTTCTGTCTAAATTTATAGGATTCCGTAACTCAATATTATTATATGTAGATCTGCCTTAGTTTAGGACCACCAATATTATTGTATTAAGTATTTGAGAACAACAATACAATAACAACAACAACGATCCAGTATAATCTCACAAGTGGGGTCTGGGGAGGGTAATATGTACGCAGACCTTACCCCTATCCCGAAGGGTAGAGAGGCTGTNCCAGTATAATCCCACAAGTGGGGTCTGGGGAGGGTAATATGTACGCAGACCTTACCCCTATCCCGAAGGGTAGAGAGGCTGTTTCCAGGAGACCCTCGGCTCAAAAAAAGCAACAGGAGCCGATATATTAGTACCATAAAAATGCATAATAAAATAACAGCAATATAAGAGATATGAAATACAGAATACGAAATATCTACTTATTAGGGTTACGCTAGTGACGGAGCCAAAATTTTCATCAAGGGGTTTCAAAATATAAATAATTAGCTATATTGAAAAGTCAAGGGGAGTCAACGTATAGTAAATATATATAAAATTTAAAAAAAATTATCTAGCAATATAATGTAATTTTTCGATGAACCCCTTGGTTCAATGTGGCTCCGCCACTGGGGTTACCTCGAGACAAAGGCAAATCCAGGATATTAAGTCGGTAGTTGAGAATGAGTTTAATCTTATACATTTTAATATCTTTTTATTGTGCATATACGTACTTCTGCCTGAACATCCAATATAATGGTTTAAAAAAATATTAGTGTGGGGTTGGTGTCTGAAATAGTAAGATGAAATTAATTACTGAATCATGGAATTATAATCTTTATTGACAGGAAAAGGAATACAAGGAAGCCCTTGATGCATTCAATACAAAAAGCAAGGAAAAAGCTCAGCTTCTTACCAAATTAATGGAGGTAATTAGCTTTTGTTTCTTGTCTCATTAAACTAACACTATCATATTTGTAAGTGTATATGTTTGTATTTTTGTAGTTTTAATATATTTCCCTTTTTTCTTGAAAAAAATGTACAGTTGGTAAGTGAAAGTGAAAAACTGAGGATGAAGAAACTGGAGGAGCTGAACAAACATATAGAATCCCTGCGCTAAGCCATGCTAATACTACTCTTTAACCAAGAATTTCTTGAATTGAATTGAAATTGTCACATTGGACTTTTAGTTTGTTACATTCCATGTTTCTTACTTTTGAATCTCATTGGTTTTGTTATTTTTTATTTTTGGTTTTAAGTTTGACAAGTCAGGTCTAATTAACATCCGTAAAAAGATCATGATGTTTGTATTTCTATGAATTCAGATGTAAATTGTGGAGTTGTGTCGTTTGTATGATCATATAATATGACTATATTGAACTGATATTTTTCACTCTTCGAATAGTATTTAGGTTTCTGTTTAATAATGTGTCATCATTAATATATATTGATGATACAATTCTGGAAATCTACTCAACTTTTTTGTTGGTTTCTTGCACTCAAATATGTATTTATCTTTCTGTTAGTGTAATAATAGCCAGACCGCAAATATAGAAAGATCATAAGCAAATCCTAAGAGCACATAAATAGATAAGCAGGCAGCTTCATCTTTTATTGCTAAGTTAACTCTTACAGAAGAAAAAAAAAAACAAATACATAAGACATGCACTTAGGCCGCACCAACTAGTGATATTATCCGTTTTAGGCTTAGGCTTGCATGTAACGCACATCTCTGATGTCTAAGGCTTGCGTCCTTATACCTAACATCTCTTCCGTATTTTGTTGATGTGAGAACTCCAAGAATCATTGCCTCAGTTACTGAACTCCAACCACAATGACTCACAAAGCCTCCAATACTTGAATGTATTAGTACATTAGTGTGATATTATCTCACAAAACATGAAGATTTCTCTATGCGTCTAAGTAGCCTATCTTTGTCTGTGATGCCAATTTGAAAAATTGGACATAAATTGGACAAGCTTCAAAAAGGAAATTCCATATCAGGATTGATTGCAAAGTGCACCATGTAATCTGTGTTTACTGCACTAGTACTTAATAAAGACGAGCTTAACTTGTATACTCTGAAAGTGTAACAAAATCTTTACACTAAAAGATAACTACAATCAATGTCCATAAAGAGTTCGATAATATTCTGAAAAATAATGTAGGTTACCTGCTAAAATACTGAGGCTATTATTCTTGGAGTTCCTATCATAAGCAATGTCTATGTAGTATATCCACTTGAAGGGAGCCTTGGTGTAACCGGTAAAGTTGTTGTCATGTGACCACAAGATTACGGGTTCGAGCTGTGGAAACAGCCTCTTGCAGAAATGCAGGGTAAGACTACATACAATAGACCCTTGTGGTTTGCTTTTCCTCGAACCCCGCACATAGCGAGAGCTAAGTACACCTGTGTCACGACCCAAACCGATGGGCCACGATGGGCGCCTGAGTCTTACCTGTCAAACACCCCTAAGCATGCGTCTAAAATATGAACCTGAATAACATCTGCTGCATTACAAAATTAACCTACGTGAAAGAAGCCTGCCATCAAGGAATATGTACGTATACAGGCAAAATACAGTGGGCGAGCCGGCAAGGCTGCTATAGACAACTATACATCAAAAACTGAAA